GTGTTCCTTGACTGATTCTAAGACATTTTTGTTCTTAGCAATTTTTTCCTAGTCTATAGTTTTAGAGAAAAAAATTTTTTTAACCTTCAATTTGGCAAAAAAAAATCTTCATTTTTTGAAAAATAAGTGATTCACTATTAATATAAAAATTTCCTGTTAATCTTCAACCCCCATGATCACCTCTGATCATGATTAAGAGATGATACATTTGCGGTATCATTGCAAAAAAAAATTCAGAAAAAAAATGTTTCAAAAATTTTCACGTTTTTCATGTTTAAATCGGTCATATTTTTTTCCTTAAGAGTTAATCGCAATTTTGACCTCGGATTCTGAAAGAACATGAAATTTTACGTCGAAAAAGAGCCTGTGAAATTTTTTTGTAGACCGATAGCATAAAAAAAACTCGGTGAAAAGTTACTTAAAATTCGCGTCGTTTGGGCGATCACCTCTGATCATGATTAAGAGATGATACATTTGCGGTATCATTGCAAAAAAAATTCAGAAAAAAAATGTTTCGAAAATTTTCACGTTTTTCATGTTTAAATCGGCCATATTTTTTTCTTTAGGGGTTAATCGCAATTTTGACCTCGGATTCTGAAAGAACATGAAATTTTACGTCGGAAAAGAGCCTGCGAAATTTTTTTGTAGACCGATAGCATAAAAAAAAACTCGTTGAAAAGTTACTTAAAATTCGCGTCGTTTGGGCGTTAATGGGTTAATATGTGCAAAAATATATATTTCATCAGGTACAAGTTGTCTTATTTATATACAGAGGCATACAGTGCAAGGGCACGCGTGAGAGAATGAAAGCGCTCTACCAGCCCGAGTTCGCGCAGCGCGCTCTTATTCTCTCATGCATACATCTGTAGCGATAACTCAACATAGTGTTTTGTATGTAAATGAGACACCCTGTAAATGATGCGTATGAAAGTTTACTTCAACTTTATTTCATCTGTTTTGCAACAATATTTAATTCTAAATTATATTCTTTAGAATTGTCTTGTAAAGAATTTCATGTAATTTTTTAATAAGATTAAGTTAAAGATACATTAGTTTATTAGGTGACTTAATTATTTGCAAATTCTAGTTATGTGACGTTAATTATTTGTAGAGATATTTGCGTTAGCCATTTCACACAATTTACATTTTTATGAGAAAATCAATGTGTAAAAATATTCAGTAATGTGCAGGAGAAAAATGTTGGTTTTTCTTGATATATTATAGAATAGATAATATGTCATAATTCTGTTTCCTTCTAGAAAAATTTTTATCGTCTACATTATTATTATTAAGACCATCAAACGTCTTAATAATAATAATGTAGTATAATATAATTCTAAAACTAACAATAAACATCGCAACACTTGTTGAACTTACAGCGTCCTTAACACGTTCATTGCGTTCACACAAGAAAGTGTCGACTTAACTATTTCTTTCCTGGTACGAATGTCGATACTTTGTCGGATTTGAATGTTTTCTACGAAAAATGCAAAATAAGGTATAATATAATATAAAATGTTTAAATCAATGTAGAAGGAGATTTTTAAACAAATAAACAATTTTCAACATCATGTAACTATTTTTCATCATTGGCGCCGCAGTGAATGTATTAAAGTCGAACATAATATTAGTTTTTCGATGTCCATAAACGATTGCGAGTGTCTAGGGCAGATATTCATAGTCGAATTTTATATATAATACTGTCTTAAGTTTATTTTCAAATACTGTACGATTCATTTTATTGGCAAAACATTTAAAAATGAAGATCTTAAGACGGTCCTAAATATAAGGTCCGTTTATGGCCTAGGTTCATCGATGCTTGACTCGAAAATATGGAGTTCTTCATTAAGAGATTTCATTTTTAATTTCGTACTATTTTTAAACTATTAAAGATAGAACTGTCATTCCTTAAAAACTGAAAAGTAAAAAGTATATGGTTAACAAAAATAGAACAATATACTGTTTAGCAATGTATAGAAATTGTGAAAATTCACTACAAAAATGAGGAAAATTTCGTAGAGACAGTTCGTAAAGTTTATACTGCTTTCGGTGACAATAAAGCATTTTTTCGTTTAGCAATTGTTAACCTAATCAAGAAATTTGAGCGTTTGGGTCAAGTTAGTGACACCCCGTGCTCGGCTAGCTAGATAAATTGTCTGTCGAAAACGAAGCCGGTGCTACTGTTTCAGTGAATGCACTGCGTTACTATATGTTGACCAACTTTTTTGGCTTAATGATTTGAACTTGGACGATGTTTATTTCTAGCATGATAGCGCAACGTGCCACACAAACAGCGAAACAATCGCGTTATTACTTGAAAAATTCCCTGGATATATAATTTCTCGACGCGGACATTTCAATTGGCCATCTAAATCGTGTGATTTAATATCGCTAAACTATTTTCTTTGAGACTATGTAAAGGAAAGTCTAAGATAATATTCTACAAACGATTTAAGAGTTTAAGGATAATATTAAAAATGTTATTCACAAAATCGAATTGCAATTATGCCAAAACGTTATGCGAGACTTCCTTCAAAAAATGACCATTTGTAAAAAAATCGAGGTGATCATTTATCAGATATTGTGTTCAACACTTAATTATATAGTAATTCTGTACTTCGCATTGGAATAAAAATATAATCACTTTTTTTTAGTAAAAAACATTGTTTTCCTAATAATTATAAATGAAACCTTTTAATTGAAAATCTTTTACATACCATGCCAAAAGTCACTATCACACATCGTATCAGAGAATAGAAGTTATAAACTTGAAGAGGCCAACCACCCATAGGCCACATCAGCATTTTAAAAGGGTTCATTGCGTACGCGATATCGGCATTCCATCGTCCACCTGTCATTGTGTTAAAATAATGGCTGTAATAGTGACCATTGACCGTGGATATGCTCGCTATCTTTGCTCTACGTCGTATATTCTGGTTGATTTGTTATTCACCCCAAACGGTATACCCGCATTTCCAATTATTTCTATATCTCAAACGTGCGCATCGCCATGGAACGCAGCGAATTACGTTTTTACGTTGCTGCCTTTATGAAAAATAATTTTGTAATATCGTGATGTTATGATTATACTTCATTTTTTATTTAGCATGTATAGCCACCTATCATCCACTCTCTGCATTTTGCACACGTGTCATTAAGTGTAGAGAAGTATATTATAGAGAAGTAGCTTGTTCAAGCTTGCCGGTGCATACCGTAATTTGGTGAATGAAAAAACGAGTCAAAATGATCGTGTCGCAAAAGTCTTCGATAGGTTTTATGAATTTTATTATATTTCAATGTCTAATGTTTCAACGATGCTATCTTGGTTGCATTTTCCGACAAAATATTTCAAAGGGATTGTGAAAACAGGTTGTCACGGGAACATGAATATCGGAAGAGATAAAAAGGGAAATATTTCTAACAAAAATACATAAGTGAAAATTGTTTTATTTGCCGAAATAAACATATTTTTTTCTCCTTTTTTTCAAGTATACAAATATATTTACACGCTGCTGAGAGAGGAGAATCTGTTAATTTGGCACGAATAGGTGACTGCATTGCAACTACACAATTAACAGTTTTATTAAAATAATATTATATAATAATCTCTTGCTTCGACAGAATTTCTCTCTCATCAAACAGGACTCCGTATTGTAGATTTATATAAATTTATTTTGTAGATTTTATCATCCCGTTGTGTATGTTAGACTACGTTTCCACCATTACGCGGAGTACAGATAGATACGAAATAGAAGTCTTTAGGATGCTTATATAGGTCGTGAGATTTACCACGATAAAATTTCCAGCTTGCAGTTTGATCGGAGATTGAGATCGCATAATGATAAAGGCCAAGTTTCGTGTCAACTTTGCAGGAAGATTGTACCAAGTACTCTGATAAAGGAAAAGTCCGATTTCTTCCATTTGGTTTTTGAAATAATCCCCGACGAAACTATAGACGGAAATTTGCATTAAGAAAGAACCAAGCACCACACAGCTTTTCGCTAACATAACAGCGTTGCTCTTCTTCAACGCTAAGATGAATTGGAATCCTGCAAGAATATTTAGTAATTTAATACGAGTTTTTCTAGTGTAGCATACTTATATTCGTTAAGCCGTTATTAGTGAGATAATATTCACCCATTATACATAGTAATACATTGGTAATGAATAATTGCATCAACAACGCAAAACTGATTGTATCGGCGAGCTTCTGGCCTAACCTCATTAGATAATCGTGTCTTTGTATCAATGCGTTAAAGTGATTATGAACCTGAGGACTTGTAACATCAATGTTGGCAAAATTGGCTTTCAGAATTGTTAATTGACCACACACGTGCAGTGTAATATTGAGGAACAAGGAGTCGTTACCTTTACAAGAAGGAAACCCATAAGACTCTGTACATAATTTCGTAACACAATGTTAAAATATATGGTTCCGCGCTAACTTTTTCATTTTCTGCTTCTTTATGATACTATATAATTTTATAGGATGTTATGACTTTATATATAGAAAAATTCCGTAATATCTATAGAATTAATCAAAGCGTCATAACTAGAACAAATCATTTTAATTTAATAACAATATCGTTGAAACTAATACTTGATTTTTTGAAACAATATATGACGTTATTACGTCTTGGAAGAGGATGTACGCAACAAACATTGCAAACTCGCACACTTGCGAGGCCGTACTGGCAGGTCTGCAAATTAGGTCAAGATCCGGAATGGCCCATTTATTCCGATCCCAGAACGTACGTTAGGTGGTCTTTTATTTAAGTTAAAGAATTTAATCTCTTTACCTCGGATAGGGTGAAGCAGTGGTGTAACGAATTTAAGAAAGGACGGGAGCGTGTTGAAAACATTGCCCACCCACGCCGTCCCCGCACCAGCATCGCACCGAAGCTGTTCAAGAACTCATTGAAAGCGATCAGCACTTAACTGTTCTTGAAATCTCTCAGGAATTTTATTTCGAGCTGCCTATCGGTCAAAAAAGCGCGGCATTCCGATCAGAAGTGTGTTGCTTCTCTATGACAACGTCAGACTCCACATCACAGCAGTAACATAACAAAAATTGGCTGTTATGCACTGGGATGTCCTAGCATCCACCCTACAGCCCAAACATGTCACCATGCGACTTCCATATGTTTGGGCTACTCAAGGAAGCCCTTGGTGGACAGCGTTTCACAGCAAACGAGGAGGTGCAGCAATTCATGTGCAATTGGTTTGATACACGTCCGCGAATTTTTTATGATACAGGGATTAAAAAATTACCACACCGTTGGAGGAAGTGTATAGATAAGATGGGGGACTGTGTAAAAAAGTAAGAAAAATATAAATTAGAATTAATTTTGAAAAAAAATCGTTTTTTAGCAAAAGGCTCATTTATATTTGATCCACCGTCGTAATACAATCGGATTTAACGTAACAAGAATGTTTAACATATCGGTATGATGAGAACAACATTATATAATACAAGGAAGATAATAATTACGCTGTGTATATGTGTGTTTAAGAAGTGAAGTGGGATTGGAGATTGGAGTGAAATTATTAAAAGTCGTGTTTAAATATGAAATTGAGATTTACAATTTATATGGATCGACTGTGGTGAATAGTACGTAGAACATGGTTTCGTTGATCAAGGTATACTGGATTTCTGAGACTCCTAGGAGCGAGGGCTAACTTGAGATGTCTCATGGCTCAACTTGTGGACTAATTGGCTGCGTGGCAGATGCACTCGCGATGATTGTATTGGAGCACTATGCCTAAATGTCGATCAGAGAAATTTTAACAATTAGCAAGATCTGCTAAGGAAATACCGTGGAGTATTGCGATAGACTCAGAGAGATTGTTCGATACGAGTCTAATTCTGTCTGATGCAGCGTGTTAATCAGAAGTAGTATTGTAGTGGCAAGAGAATAGGGTTTTTATAGGAAAACTTTTAGGAGTAGCGGATGACGGTTTTCGTAGAAGGAAGATGGGGGGAAGGGTTCGTCAGAGTCTTTCGAATGCTAGCAATCATAAAAGCGCACAGAAGACGTGAAGATGTGAAGGGGATTGCTGCGGTTTCTTTTATACAGTTCGTAGAACAGACGATTTGGGAAACATATGACATATCTGGTGGCGCATTATTGAATTTCATAAATAACCTTTGGATCTAAATTTTATCGACGCGCTAACGTTTCCACATCCGGTTGATCGCTTAGGCTATGTTCCTCATAAAGAGCGTACGTGAAAGCGAAAGGGGGATCGCTGCATTTTGTTTTTTACTATTCGTAGAATAGACGCGTTGGGAAACACATGACATATTGCCATATCTGGTGGCGCGTTATCGGGGTCTTATAAACAACTATTGAATCTGAATTTCATTGACAGACTAACATTTCCATATCTGGTTGGCCTTTTCGGCAACGTTCTTAGTCATATTACAGTTTTTATTACTGGATATCGCTTGGCCAAATGCGTCTGTTTCTCAATCCAAGGGAACAAATGTTTGTAAGAAAGGCACAGGAAGAAAAATTCATTGTTCGTGAGGTACGCAGGACGTAACAATGTATTAGTTTCAATAATGTTGTTATTTAAACAAAAATTCTATCGATGAAAGAGAATTTTTTCTGTGCACGATTTTCTATCTGATATCTATATACAGTAAGGCCTCTCTATAGTTCATTTTCTTATAGTTACAATCTCCTAACAGTTCACCTCTTTATAGGCTGGTTTGCGAAATGCATCGCCAGTACTAAAAATCTATAGTTTATATTATGTATACTATAAATGTTGGCAGTGAATATTTAAACGTAGTCACATTTCTAAATTACATGATGTCGTCTCCTTAACAACCATTTATGTACGATGCGCAATCATCTATTGAGGCTCGTGTTTTGGCGTTCATGACATTACGAGAACCAAATGAAACCTAACTTTCGTATTTTATAAAGTTACGATCCTGCTGTAAGCAGAACTAAAACGATCTCTTGTCTAGATACATTTCGGTCCTAAAAGTGTGACTATAGAGAGATCCAACTTTAATATTGAGCAACTCAAAAATTACATGCAAATATTAATTACCAAATATAGATATTACCGTGGTTGCAAGTACACGTGAGTGCCATCATAAAAGATTCAGTGAGAGTGATAATTTCGTACATGCTCATCGGAATATGGAAGTACTCCAAAGTGCATTTTGATGGTATCGTATACTCCAACACGATTTCCTTGTCCGTTACGTTGAACTGATCAATCGGCTCGTCACTCAAAAGCGGGATTAGCGTATAGACGACAGTTGCGAAGTAAGCGAAGCACACCATAAAACAGGAAAGTATCCTTCCGATTAAAGCGTATTTTCTCATGATCTTACGCTGTTCCGGGCTTTCGATTGTGGTATAATCTTCTATTGCAGCGTTGTAAGTGTCAATTAAGTTATTCGCATAAATGCGGAAACATATGGTCTTCACTATAGAAATTATTCCGCAACAGACAAACATGAGACTATCTACATTTTGCTCTGCGTCAGTGCAGCCCATATTAACCTCGATGGAAGGCAAAATCACTACTATAGTCTGTTAATATACATGAATTGTAAGATGTTGCAAAGGCTGATATATTAATGAGAATTGCATATTTCGTACACGGAAAAAGAACTCGGTTCCTACAACTTAATAAGAACCAGATAAAAATTTGATGATAAGAAATGATATTTCTGTTATCACGACTAAGAAAATTCATATGCACATCTTGTTACATAAAAATTCTATTGAGACAACTGAAAGTAATCGACCGAATAGAAACAAGAAATTTTTTACAAGAATTTTCCTGTTCCTATAACCGAATTTTTGTTTCATCCTCAGACAACAGAAAGTTCATTTATTCCAGCAGAATTGTTTTTTCTGTGTACAATTAATTTGTTCCTTGTACGATGTAAAAGCAAGAGCATGCGTGAGAAAGTAAGAGCATGTGCGACCTGCCAGAATTCGCATGACGCGCTCTCGCTCTCTCACGTGTAATCCTGCGGCAACTTGACATACTGTTTTGTATTATGCAACACTCTGTACAACGTCAAAGAACCTATATATCGCTACGAATGGTCGCTAACGTTAGCATTATAAATAGCAAGTAGTGTACAGAGTGTACAAAAAAACTCGAGATCCTGGAATATTTCGCAAAATATATGTTTTATAAAAAACATGTCGGATAAAAGTTATAGGGTTTAAAAATATCTATTTACTAATCAGTTTGACCTTGGATAGCGTTGCCAAGGTCAAGTCAAAACCATTTTAAATTTTGTTTATGAAACTCCTCACGTTTTATTATATATTCTTATAGACTTTCTTGAGACCTTTTCAAATACTATAATTTTACTCACTTTGAGTCAATCGTTTCATCTTAGATCATCTCGCGATCTTGTCTTTATTGGATGAATCATACTCTGATTTTACTTTCATTGGCTAGATCATCATCCGATCTGGGCTTCGTTGGGTGGATAATTTCTCGAATTTGCTTTCGTTGGTTCTATATTCGATTTTGTCCCCTTGTTGGGTGGACATCTTATCATAAAAGCTTCCATAACTTCAAAACAGCTGATATAATGTGCATAAAATTATAATGTTTTGAAAAGATCTTAATAATAGCTATAAAACAATGCAGTAAAAAATAGAGAGTCCTATTTAAAAAATTCGAAGTAATTTTGCTCTGACTTTTGCGACGTAAGATCAAACTGTTGAGATCAGTAAATATTGGGTCTATGCATAATTCCGTAGCGAAATTCCAACAGATGTCGTTCGTAGTTGTTTTTCCGCTCGCACATGTGTCAAACATATGAAATGTCGTACATTAAGTGAAAGCTGAAATTTGTACTGACATTTTAAGAAAGTATTCATCGAGATCCATGACGTATACGAAATTTAATTATATTTTGAACATGGAAGAAAAAAACAATATTTACGGTGCATTTCGCATTTTTATTTCCGAAGAGACAAAACACGTTGCAAATTCACAAAAAGATATGCGTCGAATGTGGGGAGAATGCCATAAGCGAAAGTATGTGTCGGAAGTGGTTTGCGAAATTTCGTTGCAGAGATTTTAATCTCCAAGGTGCTCCTCGCTCTGGCCGGCCAGTCACTACTGATGGCGATCAAATCAAGCCTTTTATCGACTCCGACCGGCATTTGATGACAACAGAGATCGAAAATAACCTTAACATTGACCAATCAACTGACGTTTCGAAACATTTACGGAAGCTTAGGATGGTAAACAAGCTCGATATTTGGGAGCCGCACAAACTAAGCGAAAAGAATGTATTAGACTGAATTTCAGCTTGTAATTCGCTGCTCAAACGCCATAAGAACAAACCATTTTTAAAGCGGATGATCACTGGCGATGAAAAATGTATTGTGCACAACAATGTCAGTCGAAAAAGATCATGGTCGAAGCGCAGGGAGGTTGCTGAAACGGTTGTATAGGCTGGATTACACCCGAAGAAGTGTCATGCTCAGTATCTGGTGGTATTGGAAAGGAATCGTTTATTATGAGCTACTGCCACCCAACAAAACGATTGATTTAACCAAGTACTGCTCACAATTGGCCAAATTAAAGCGAGCAATGGATCAGAAGTGATCCGAATTGGCAAACGGAAAGGGCGTTGTGATCCACCAGGACAACGCTAGACTACACGTTTCTCTGATGACACAAAAAAAGTTACAGAATAATTTGAATAACAAAACCTTCAGTTTCCTGGACGTCCACAAAAACTACTTGGATGACTTCTTTGCCCAAAAATCTCAGGACTTCTATGAAAGAGGGATAATGAAGATTGTGGAGAGATGGCAGAAAGTCGTTGAACACAATGGAACGTATTTAATTGATTGAAATTGTTTCTTTTGCTAAATATTAGGTGGGGAAAAAGAAATCCATTATTTTTACGTGCAGTTCAAGACTTTATTTAACATGTTTCGGATTGGCCCGTTTAGGTCAAATATGCACCGTTTTGTTTTATAATTTGTTGCCATTTTAAAGGTAGCTTCATAATGCCTCTCTCATAGAAGTCTTGGTCCCTATTGGCGAAAAACTCTAGTAATCGGTTTTCACAATCTTCTCTTAATGCCAATTTCTTATCACTAAGAATGTTTTGCAATGCAAGAAAAACATGGTAATCGCTTGGTGCCGTACTATATGGTGGATGCATCAAAACTTCCCAACTAAGCTCCCGGAGTTTCTGGCGAGTCACTATAGACATGTGTGTCCTGCCCTGATGGAACACAACACCTCTCCTGTTAGCCAATTCTGGCCGTTTCTGGTCAATCGCTAGCTTCAAACGGTCCAGTTATTGACAGTAGTAGTGTTTGACAATATGGAAGCAACTCATAATAGATGATTCCTTTCCAATCCCACAAAATGCACAGCAGAACCTTCCTGGCCGTTAGTTCTGGTTTGGGCACTGTTTGAACTGCTTCACCGCGCTTTGACCACGATCATTTTCGCACAATGTTGTCGTATGTGACCCATTTCTCATCCCCAGTCACTCTCAGTCAGTTCTCATCCGTTTAAGAAATGGGTCGATTTCATTCCGTTTGGCCAAGGCTTCGCAGATGGATCCATCATGTTTCTTTGTGTTAATTGGTGTGGCACCCAAACATCGAGCTTCTTTTTGAATCCAGCTTTGTGCAAATAGTTTAAAACTATTATATGGTCGATCTTTAACTCCTGGGCGATGCTACGACTGCTAACATGCCGGTCGATTATTTCTGTGATTTTATCGACATTTTTGACGACGGGCTTACCTGTGCGAGGTGCATCTTTAACATCAAAAATACCTGAACGGAATCGACGAAACCAAAATTGCACATAATTGGCTGTTACAGTATCGGCACCATAAACACCATTCACAATTACAGCCGCCTGGCTTGCATTTTCGCCTTTATCACAGAAAAAATTTAAAATGTACCGAATTTTCTTTTTGTTGACTTCCATTTTTAACATCCTATAACTCACAACAGAATGGACCAAACAAAAAACAACAAAAGAATTATTTTAGTGCGAAATGTCACCTTTTCAACGAGCATAAATCTGAAATTGTTTGATCGATACTTTACGAGATATCGATCACTACAGCCATTTACCGAAAAAATAATGGATTTCTTTTTCCCCAACCTAATATATTGCGTTTAAAATTTACTCAATTTTCGCTACGAAATTATGCATAGACCCAGTAGATCTTTTTAAACCCTACGTTTATCTGAAATATTTATGTATAATTATATATTTTTTTAATTTCCTGGCATTTTTGCCTTTTCCATATTGTATATAAGACAAGTTATGTCACTAATTTCTCAAAAATAATTATACTACTCCCGGCAAAAAGAAGATATAATATNTATAGTAAAAAAGTAAAATATGACGAAAATGCTGCTTATTGCTCTCCATATTTAAAAGGGCACCGACCAAAAACTACTGCGTAAAATCAATTGAACTTATTCACACACAAGCCTTGCTATATCAGCTGTCAAAACATATAATGACAATGCGACTTAAGTGTGAAGTTAGCTGTGAAAAAATACAATTAAATCCTCTGTCGGGAAAAAACGAAATTACTTTCCGAACAACCCAATAAATATAATGAAGTGTGTTTTCTACGAAAGAATGAAAGAATTTTGTCGTAAATTTTCCATAGTTATTCGTTCTATTGATTAATCGTAATTTTATCATCATCAAAGAAATCATTTCACTTTCTGCACTTTAATTAAGGAGTTCTTTAATAAACGAGGAAACTTAAGCACTTGGCAATATTGTCGCGGTATTGAAACTTTGTCGTAACTGTCGCGATGTCGACGTGAAAGTTTAATCTGTCTACGTTCTCGAATGGACTGCACGTTGAGGATCATCGAAGCTCAATTCGAAAGATGCGTACCATGCAACAAGTGGCGAAAATGCATCGTATTAGAGAAGAGACGGTATGGGCTTGAAGTGGCCAAACACCATTGGACCACGTTAACAGTTTGAAAGGGATCATTGCGTACGCGATATCTTTTTCCCATCGCTTGCTATTCATCGGGCCGAGGTAATGATAATAACTGTGACCACAATAACTGATGATGTACTCGCTATGTCGACGCCACGCAGATATTACGAGTCGTTATTTATTCAGTTCGGTATATATACTCGCTTAACAAACCCCCTTTATGCTTCTGATGCATGCGTTATCGCAAAATGCAGAAGAACATTCGCTTTTACATGAAATTGTCCTGAATAACAATTTATGTGACTATAATGCTTTTGAAATTGTCATTTTTCAAGATATATCTTCGTCTTTTATTTGTTGCACATGTGCTAAAACTGCTGCAAGGGCATACATGGTCAATCGCGACTTAGTAGACAGCGACGATATATGTATATGTTCCCCTGCAGCAATCTGCAGCGATATATTGCTTTGTACATAGGTGCAACATCCTATACGTGTCGATGGTGTGAAATTTTATATTCGTATAATATTAGGTTGGTGCATATGAAATGTCGGATTCTTAAGTGATTGTATAAAACTGTATATCTTTCTTCAAAAGCTGTTTATTCAATCAAAGTATGCTCCATTCGCTTCAATACACTTCTCCCAACGAGATTTTAAAGCGTAGATGCCTGTCTTAAAAAAATTTTGGTCTTTAGAATTAATAAACTCTGATATCGAGTTTTTTAGACTGTCTTCATTTTCATGGTGTTTGCCTCTTAAAAACAGCTCTAAATGCTTGAAAAAATGAAAATCGGTCGGCGAGAGATCCGGTGAATATGGTGGATGCTGCAAAACTTCATATTCCAGTTCGTTCAGTTTCGCAATTGTTTTGTGCGATGTGTGCGGCCGAGCGTTGTCATGGAGCAGTAGCGGGCCATGCCGATTCACAAGCGATGGGAGTACAATTTGGTGTCTCAATATCGTTGTATGGTCAACTTTCATCCTGATAGCAAGTTCCCTCGTGGATACGGCTGGATCCGCTTCCACTAGAGCCTTCAGGTCATCATTATTCACAGACGTTTTGGGTCTTCCGCGCGGCTCATTTTGCAGTGAAAAATCGCCAGTCCGAAATTTTTCGAACCAACGCTGCACTTTCCGATTGTTAACCGTATTCTCCCCAAACGCTTGGTTTATGTTGCGTGCAGCTTTTGCAGCACTATTACCAAGTTTGTACTCATATAAGAAAATGACGCGAATGTCGGCAGAATTCATATCGGTAATAAACTCAAAAGAAATAAAAAAGGGAAGACCTTCGAGAAAACCTATTTTGTTGAAATGAGTCTCTGGCAATGGACAATACGAGTATGAATGAGGTTATGCCAAATACAAAAGTATAACGAAAACAGGGAGGAAAACGTCCGCATGTAAAGAGAATCCGACATTTCATACGCACCAACCTAATATTTACAATTTATGTCTCTGCAACAAATAACGATATCAACGACCAAAAACAAACATTATGTTGTGCGAACTCTATTCTATCAAAGTTAGAGATAGTTAATGATACGATTAATGCACCTTCGTTAACTAATACGTGTAAACGCGTAAATTTTGCGTAATGTTGATTATACGCTTTTGCACCACATTTATGGCTTATTTCTCTGCAACGTCTTAATCGACAAAGATGTATTATTGCACTACTATATAGGAAAAATTAGTAGAAGACAGTGCATTAAACGTCAGTTCCCGGTAGGTAGCGGCAATAATGCATGAGATGGTATTATGAAATATAAAAGCCTTTGACGCTAACATTTGGCATACGAATTGCCGCGGTGCAATCCTCCGCCACAAATAATCGCCGAAATCTCGGCAAAGACGACAGATATCGACATTATTGATAAAACATTAACAGCAGGTTTTTATTGAAAATAATAATGAATGTTGATATCATTAATACAACTTCGCTAATTACAGGGCGGAAGTGCATGTACTTTGCGGCATTCCAATTATCCGCATGCGTAGCGACAGAGTTTGCGGCTTTTTCCTCTACAACCGCTAAAGATATAGGCGTTATTCAAGATACATTAATTAGTTCGTACTCTATTCTAATGGAAATAATGGTTTCTAACGATACGACTTATATACTTTCGTTAATTGAAGCATGGGACGCGTGTACACTGCGGCTTTCCCATTATTCACGTGCGCGTCAATAGAGTTTATGGCTTTTTTCCCTGCTACTACTAAAGATATCAACGTCGTGCGTTAACAACAGTATTACAATTAACAGTATTCTCTGTGTTGAGATAACTTCTTTATGATGATACAGTTAATTCCCTTTCGTATATTAAGGCGTGCAAGTGCGTGAACTTTGCGTAATGTCGATCTTTCGCTTTCGCAACATATTTATGGTTTATTTCTCTGCAATGCCTTGATAGATGAATGTATATCAACTGTATTGTAATAAATCTCTAATTTCAACACAAGGTACTTTGCAGTTCGCAATACTTTTCGAATGACGTTGATATATTTAAATGTTGTAAAAAAAATTCACTAAATCTGTCGCCGCGAACGCGAATCGAAATGCTGCAACGTACATGCATTTCTGCACCGTAATTAACGAAGGTGTATTAATCGTATCATTCTAAATTACTATTTCCAATTGAAAAGAGAATGGATAAGTTAATGCTTGATGAATAAATTTAATATCTTTTGACGTTGTCTAAATTTCGCCGATTACGTGTAACAAGAATTATTCAATAGCAAGTCAGACGCCAAACGTTAGCATCGGAGATTTTTCTCATGCGGTATCTTCCCGCCAATTATAACCGCCACGTACCGGGAACTCATAGCGTGTTCCGCAGTGTCTTCCGTCAATACTATAATTAACGAAGGTGCATTAATCATATCATTACAATCCATTAATTCATACTGAAAGGAGTACAAATGAGATAATGTTTTCTGTTATACGTCGATATTCTTACTCGCTGCAGAGTAATAAGCCAATATTTAACAGAGCAAAAGAAAATATTCAACGTGTCACAGCATTCATGCACTTCGACGCCTTAGCTGACGAAAAATACTAACCGTAACATCATATATTACTGATTTCAAAACAAGGGACACTGCAAATTGTGATACTTTTCGCACGACGTCGATATTTTTAGCAATTGCAGAGAAAACAACCATAAACTATATATGGCACGCATGTTATGAGTAATCGTAAATCGCCGCCACGTACGTGCGCTTCCACGTCAAGCTTCTTAAGAGACCTGAACACTGTAAAATTTTCAAAAAATCGATTTTTTATTTTTTTGCTAAATCAATAGTTTAGACATTGAAAAACATGTATGTAAAGTTTCAAGTAAAAATTCGAACTCTAAGTATTTGAAAAGAGCGTCAAACGCTGACGTGTTGGCCAAGCGTTTTTGGGCGTTTCGGAGCGCTGCGCGCGTATAGTAAATATAACCTTATNTTAGTGAACACAACGTGATCTTGTTTTGTTGACAAAAGTTTTGATTTACGTGTTTTTGAAAGTTAAAAACATTGTGATTGTTTAAATAATGGATAAAAGAGGTAAGAGGCACTCTGCTGAAAAGACGACAAAAAGAAGAAACAGAAAGAAAAGGCGAGTTGGTCCTGCAAATAGATACGTCGCCGAGACAGCAACAATTAATACTAGTACGTCTGAACAGAAGCTCAATACCTCTTTCGACGATTTGAATGTGCCGATTGATCAAAGTGTTTCTTATAGAGTTATAAATTTTATATCGGTATTTTCAAAGCTGAGCCAAGTAGTTAAGTGTAAAACATGTGGGGGAGACGTCGAATTCACTGAAACTACTAGCAGAGGGCTGGGTTTCAATTTAATAGTGACGTGTAAAAAGTGTCAGCCAACGAAAATTCCTTCTTGCCCTACTATAAAAAACGCCTTCGAAGTCAATCGTCGGTTTGCATTTGCTATGAGGATGCTTGGTGTCTCACAAGCCGGAGCCGAAAAATTTTGCGCCTTTATGGATCTACTTCGGCCTCTATTTTCGAAAACGTATGCCGACTTAACGGAAATCGTCAGCAGCGCAGAAAAGGTAAAAAATATGTCAATAAAAAGTGCAGGTGATGAAGAAAGACGGCTAACGTTAGAGAAAAACCCAGATTCAGTCGGACTGACCGTTTCAGGCGATGGCAGTTGGCGAAAAAGAGGCTTCAGCTCTTTACATGGTTTTCTTTGTCCGTGGCTGATAGCTGCAACAATTGCAAAGATTTTTTGACCTTAACCTGTTTTGATAAAAAGGAAAATGCTTAAAAACTAAAATGCTTTACCAAATTATATTACAGGATTGGTATTATTACCACTCCTTAATTTTATTCGTCATATTAGTAGTTAGAGTTTATCTCTATTGTATATTTTGCCAGACAATTAAAATTTATCACTAAAAAAGATACAACACCGTAAGACGTACGTTTCTCGTGTTTGGCGAAATAAGTATACTAACCTTAGAAACAGTGTCGGTCTTTTTGAAGTCAGTATTTATTCTCATCTTGCTCATAATAGATCTCATATTTGGAGGAAACGATGTTCAATCATCTCATTAAACACGCACCAGATCTGCGCAATACGTTGCAAACGAACGAATACCTGTACCTTATAAATATTCACTGAATGATGTTTATTTTCAAGTTACTTCGCTGACTCTCCGTACGCATGTGTGTGACCCTTCCCTATTTCAGCCTCCATATGATCGGGCGAGCTCCGATAATCCGTAGTTGATTGGTCACATAGGTGACCACATACATTGGTTGATGATCATATAGGTGATTGCCTAATCTAATATATTTTTTAGTTGGTTATCCAGCGGAAAGACTCTAGGCACCGACCGATGTGAATGGATGTGTGCTGTCGTCCTGTATGCTGACGGGACCCTTCCACATGATCAACCTCACGTAACTTGTTCTTCATCTAAGAGCATCTACAATCTATGTAGTACTATAGAATAATCATCTAACCTTACGATGTAAAGATGTACTTTCAGTATCTATTAAGGTTAGGACTAGGTTACCCGCATTTGCGTAAGACTATAAATTAAAAAAGAAATTCCTGAGAAGGGATTAGTGTAAAATTAATTAATTAATATATGAAAAACGTCACTTCCGAAGATCATTAGCAATTTCCAACTGTTTCACAAATGCTTAAAACAATTGTACGACATTTACTGTTAATTCATAACAATTATTTCATCTTGAACGAACGGATACGATGTTGCGAAAAAAGCGAGAAATTGTTGAGAAAGGTGAGATATAAGAAGTAACATTTAAATGAAACGAGGTATATGAAGTAATATTTAAATGAGAAAACCTACAGAAATGTTAGTGGAAATTTTTTTCTCTTTTTAATATCGATATGACATCTGTATCAAGTCGAAGTAAACGAATCGTAATCCCCAGATATCGTCATCCACAGTGGCTACCAAAATCGCAGCGTGTCGTACGTAACCAGTGTATAGATAACATTTTTTTTTAAATAATACATAAGTACAAAATAACAAGTAATACATATATTGTGAATTCTGAAAATATCTATTAAAATTAATCCAGATAGACGGAAGTGTTGAATATAATATGCAAACATTTAATGTATACCTTGTGATGCTTTTGCAACACATGTTTAAAATTTGCTTGTTTTAAGAAATACTTATAACACAATTTTAATCAAAGTATTGACTTCTTAATACATATATATTAGAACATTATAATTCCAATATCAATTCATTAGAATATTGCCGTAGCATTATTACAATTTCCTTGGCATTAGATAACTCCTTTTATATACTAATAAAATTTTTGTTGTATAAAAATGCATCTTAACATTATGCTAATTAGGATACAAACAATATATAAAAATATGTTTGCTTGGGTAAATAATAGATATCTGCTAAATGATAGATATCTGCTCAAGCAACAAATTTTTTTCTGTGCAGTTGTATAATGAAGAATTAACGGAAGACAGCAAGGAATTTCTTCAAGAAGTAATTTAAGACAAATATAATCTACCTCATGTGGAACTCGGAATGAATCCTTCTTCTTTGGAATTATTTCCGATTGAGACAGTCACAAAGTGGAGGCCTGGCACGGGAGACGGACTGGTTTGATAGGTAAAAAAATTGGAGTTTATCCATTATGGATAAAGAATGATACGAGGTTTCCATCAACATTATTTCAGGTAACTAGAGTACATTTGACTCTTAGTACATGGAAGCATCATCTTAATCTTAAACTTATCTTGCCATATTCCACACTTTTATACAGGTAATCGATAATAAAGTGGTGAAATATATGCCAACAGAAGAATTCTACCTCGTGATAGGTAAGAAACCGACTCGGGTGTCTTATTGTAGGCGCCGAAAATATAGATCCACAATTGGTAATTGACTACATTTGGCATGTGTTCCTTCACTGACTTACTAATAGGTTTGTTACCGATTTTCCCTTCGTACAGGTCACTAAAGAATACAGCGGTGTATTTAAGGATTCAAAAGTTATACCGAAGAGAATACTGAGAAAGTTTGTGATATCTCCAACAGCGGCTTTACAACCAGGTACTCCTTTATTTGCTTCGCACTTCAAGTATAACGCAAAAATGAACAGAATAATATCAAATACACATGCGACGTTAATACCGATAGTTAATAGTAAATATCAATAAACAAAAAGGACATTGATTCACGTCGCGCGTTCATTTGCACTCAATCGGTATTCATTATTTCTGGTTTTGATTCTTTAAATATTAAGATCTGTCTTTTTTTAAAGTAAAATCTGTTCAGCAATTGCATGTTCTTCTTTTAGTGCCATACCTGTGTCCAGGCATAGGCAACCTCTTTCATATGCCTGGTGCGCACATTGATTATACACAAGCATATGGAACATACAATTTAACGCCGATTCCGAACGGCAGCGTTTTTAGAGAAGTTATATTAGGCAAGGATACTTTCGGTGGTTTGCCATCGTCTTGCAAGAGTAGATGCGAGCGTAAATATTTTGGCTTCTGCCGGAATCGAGCCCGGGACCGTTGGCATAGTAGACTAGAACAAAATGTTATACGAGGAGGATCAAACAGTGACAAATTTGTGTTTGTTGCCGAATATGTTCTGAAATTTCGAAAAGCTGTTGATAGAGGGTCTATCATTTAGGATATACATTTGCAAAAGTGGACAGTAGAAGCAGAAAAGCAAATGGGTTTTGCTTCATTTATAACAGGGAATTAGTGGTTTTGGAATTTTAAAAAAATACACCATATTACATCATGTAAAATAACAGCGTTTAAAATACGGACTTTTTACGGATCTTATCTGATCGCAAGTCAAACTGCAGAGAAATTTGTATAAGAACAAGATAACCACATTTCAATGTAATTGGCGAAGGATCAACTTATAATGCGAATGAACTTAGAATGGTTTTAGTTTAGAAATATATTCTGGAAGTATCTTAATTAATATAGGAGTAAAGACTGTCAAGGCTATTATCTAACCTTTATCTTTTATGACTGCAGTCTTATCTTCTATCACAGCTATACTGGCATACTCTTATGCCAATTACATCTGCAGATGGATATCTAATTTCTTCTCCGTATAAAGTATTAGAAGAATCTACAGAAATATATGTGCCATAAATAGAACAAACCTTTTTCAGACCGGTTAATATTTATATTTCGGCTTCAAGATCAAAGAAACTCACATGATAACATTTCAAAAATTGGTTCAAAGAAGTTTTCTTACGAAATACTGGGCGCAAAAGTCTGTTACTGTTTGCTGCATGGATACTGTCTGAAACAATTTGAAGCATTTATACCAAAAGATAAGCAAATGAAGATTTTAACAATACCAAAAAAACCGTTTTAATATGAGGGCAAATCAATTAGTATAGTATGTTTGAAGGCAGGCGGCGTTGCTGATGCTGTTTGACATTACCATCGTGTACTACGATTTTTCAAACAACATCATTCAAACTTTCAGAGAGTTTCATGCGATAGTTTTGATTAGACAGCAATTCGTAATGACCGTTTTTGATATTTTTCGATACCATGGAAAAAGAACAATATTGATCCGTGATTCGATTTTTATTTATTGATTGAAAAACATGCGAAGAAATAAAAACGAATTTTAATGCTTTTTATGGGAACTCTTCACCATCTATGACAACCGTGAAGTATTGGTTTAACGAATTCAAACGTGGTCGTTCATCTGTTTTTGATGAGGAGCGCCCAGGCCACCCTGCAGACATGGTTACTGAAGAAATTTTTAAAAAGATCTACGACATAATTCTCGTTGATCGCTGAACGAAAGTACGTGAGGCAGAGGCCGTAGGCGTGTCATACGGAACGGCATTCAATATTTTGCATGATAACTTGGGAACGAAAGACCTGTTGACCCGATGGGTGCCGCAATTGCTTAAGGTGGACAACAACCGGATGCGGTTATCAGTTTCGAAGTAGTGTTTGGAGCTGTTTAAGCGCAATCCATAGGAGTTTTTGTATCAAGTCATACCGTTTATAAAACATGGATCCATCACTATATACCGGAGACTAAGGAACAGTCAAAATAGTGGACCTCACTCGGCGAACCTGCTTCGAAGAAGGCCAAGACGATCTCATCGGCCGGAAAGGTGATGGCCATTCTTTTTTAGGACGTGCAAAGCATGATTTCTGTCGACTATTTGAAGAAGGGGAAGCTATCACGGGCAGTACTATGCTGATTTATTGGATCGATTCGATATTGAATTAAAAAGAACGGACTCATTTGGCAAAAAAAGTGTTGTTCCACCACGACAATGCACAGGCTCATTTCTCCGCAGTCGCCTTAGCCAAGTTGGTTGAATTGCGCGAGGAATTGTTGCCACATCTACCGTTCTCTCCGGATTTGGCTCCCTGCGACTTCTTTCTGTCTTCAAACTTGAAAAAATGGCTTGTTGGAAAGAGATTCACGTCGAATGAAGCCATCGCCGAAGGAGATGCCCATTTTGCAGATTTCAACAAATCATATTTTTCAGAAGCGTTAAAAAATGGCAGCAACATTGAGAAATATGTGTTCCAAAAGGTGATTACGTTAAAAAATAAATACAATTATTATGAACAACGTGTCTTCATTACTAACATGGGTACTTATTGATTTGCCTTCGTATAGTCTTTAGATTATTTGGTTTTAAAATTTGGAAGCATTTTGTTCAAAGCTTATTTGACTTAGCCTTACTCTACATTATCTCTACATAATACAATTATCATAAAAATTTATATTTACGTAATAATATAATAATACTTCAATTTTGGGTACATAAGTTTTTTCTCCAAGATTTTGAAATGTATTTAGATATACTTGGTATAAAAGTGATTATTTATTAATACGAGCTTAAAATTATAAGAATCCAGTCATTTTATATTATTTTAAAGAAGAAAAATTTGTAATTAATAAAGATAATTTTTGCGATTATGATCTTGTAAATAAATCTGCCTATATCTATATCTATTACAAGAATTGAAAGAAGAAATAAG